ACTGACCCGCTGATGACAGGAAATTCTTTCACAAAAATTTTCTGGGTAATTAATGAGAGAAATGAGAGAGTTAAAATAGCAACATTTTGCAGCTTCTAATGAAAAAATGGACCTAAGCAATGATCACGAATGACCTTTAACATCACAGTGACGACCAAATGCTCTGTGCCTCTTGACAACAGTAAACAACACTTCCTATGAAGTACTCATGCCAAAAGAAAAAGCAAAAAAAAACCCTGAATCTGATCAAGGCTTCCTCTCTAATTGCCAGTTTTATAGGACATATAGAAGGTAGAGGAACATGTTAAACACCACCATAAGGATGAAAACAGCAAATCTAGAATGTGGGAAACTACAAGACAAAAGAGACCTGTTTTCTTCAACAAATAGACTGCCAAGGCAGAAAGAGAAACCTATAGATTAAAATCATCTCAACATATTACGATGTATGGACTTTATCTGGATCCCATTTCAACAAACTGTAAATTAAAAAGAAATTTATAAGACATCTGAGGAAATGTGAACATTGAGGAAATATTTAATGATGTTAAGGAATTACTAATTTTTAGATATGAGAATGGTATTATAGTTATGTTTTTAAAAAATCCTTATCTATAGAGATATGTATCAAAATATATATAAAATGATCAGATAACAAGAATTTGTTAAAATGTAACCTGGTGATGGGGTAGGGTTTGATGAAACACTGGCAGGGAATTGATAACCATTGAAGCTGGGTGACAGACCATGGGGGTTCATTATACTATTCTCTCTACCTTTGTATGTTTCCATAAAAAAGATTTAAAAAGAGGCAAGAGGGGAACATAACCAACTGCACTGTATGGACCTTATGTGCATAACCATTAAAAAAAATTTACCAGAGTATCAGGGAAATTTGAACACTGACTTGATATTTCATATTTAAATGATTATTAATATTTTAGATGTGAAACGGTATTAAAAATATCCTTATCTTTTAGAGGTATATACTGAAATATTTATGGGTAAAATGATATACTTTCTGTGATCTACCTCAAAATTATCCAAAGGATCAGGATGGGGAAATAAGTAGAAGCAGAAATGAGGATTGGCCAGGAGCTGATAACTGTTGAAGCCAGGTGATGGGTAAAGAAGATTCCTTATACCATTCACTCTACTTTTGTGTGTTTTACATTTTCCATTATAAAACATTAAAAAAGTAATAATAACCTACAGTGCTAGAAGTCAGAATAATGGTTACCTTTGAAGAGGGTAATGGGAGCCACAATAAGGGCTTCTGGAGTGGTAGGAACCTTCTATTACACAGGCTTGTTTACTTTGTGATAATTCATCAATCTGTACATTATGATTTGTGCACTTTTCAGTATATTATACTGCAATCAAAAAATATTTTTTAAAAGCAAGAGATCCACTACTTCAGTGCAAGAGAAGACACTAAGGTAGAATTACAGGTACTACAGCAATCACTAAGTTTAGTGAGCAGAAAGGCAAGAGGATACTGTACGGCCCTAAGCAAATGCTGGGATCTGGTCTCATTTTTCCCATCTCTTAAGGGAAATAGCAGCTGCCTCGACCGCTGTTGTGGAGCATTAAACGGAACAGTGTGTGTGAAAGTGCTTAGCACAGACCCGGGGCACACAGCTAGCAGTCAACAAAAGCTGCCTTTTGACTTTTATGTCAGAGGACCCAGCCTGCACTCATGGCCTGCTTGCCCTCTAGACTGCAGCGTACGTATCTAGACCTCCGTAGTAATAAATTACTCTCAGACGGGGAGCTGGGTAGATACCCATCAGCCCTCCGCCAAGGCTCTAACAGAAAACCACTAATGAGACTGAACAGAGGAGGCACCACAGCAGCACGACCATCCGAGAGAACCCAGCAGGTCTCCTCCGCAGTATTCGGCATGGAGGCAAAACCACTTCAGAGCAGGGAAGCCCACGCCCACGCCCACGCCCACATCCAGGAAGCGTCCCTCCCGAGCCGCGATCCACCCCACCCCACTCCACGCCCTCCAATGGGGACGCGCGGAGTAAAAGCCTCATATCGCCCCCTCCTCCCTCCCCCAATCAGCAAGCCCGCACCAGATCACAGCGCCCAATCACATTGCTCCACATGCCGAGGGCAGCCCTCCGCGCACACGCGCACGGAGAGGCTTCCCAAGGCCAGCGCCCAAACGCCGGGCTCCACGGGCTGCGCGCGTCTCCGCAGAGGTCACACTGCCATCTACTGCCCGATCATCCGCATGTAGCCCCAGGCGTACTACCTGATTTTCCGGGCTCATACCCCAGCCCAAAGGCTCAAATAAGAATTAGGGAAAACATGCAGTAATATCACGTATGAACTCAAGTTTTAATTACATTCTCTTACACAGAAGAAAAAAAATATTGTCTCTAACAGCCTCTTTTTCTTCCAAGCAGTGTGAGTTTCAAAACCTCATTTCACTTCACAATCTAATGTTTTATTTATGTGTAAAATCAAGGGGCCTAGGGACTTGTTCCTTTCACATATTTCTGGAGCACCTACTATATGTCATTACCTGGGGGAGGCTTCCCAAGGCCAGCGCCCAAACGCCGGGCTCCACGGGCTGCGCGCGTCTCCGCAGAGGTCACACTGCCATCTACTGCCCGATCATCCGCATGTAGCCCCAGGCGTACTACCTGATTTTCCGGGCTCATACCCCAGCCCAAAGGCTCAAATAAGAATTAGGGAAAACATGCAGTAATATCACGTATGAACTCAAGTTTTAATTACATTCTCTTACACAGAAGAAAAAAAATATTGTCTCTAACAGCCTCTTTTTCTTCCAAGCAGTGTGAGTTTCAAAACCTCATTTCACTTCACAATCTAATGTTTTATTTATGTGTAAAATCAAGGGGCCTAGGGACTTGTTCCTTTCACATATTTCTGGAGCACCTACTATATGTCAGGGTATTACCTGGGGCGGGCATTATCATCCCTAATTTATAGATATAGGAACCGAGTTAAGGGACAGTTTCTGAAAGCTGGCAGAGCTGGGGTTCACAGCCAGCTGTCTTCCCCTCCAAGTGCAGACTCTTTACCACATCACACTGCATAATGAAGGTATAAAGTGCTGTAAGAATACAGGATGAGGAAAAAAATCAACTGACTCGATAGGGACTCAGGATGTACAGAGAGGATTATTGGCACAGTGGTATTCAGTAAATGGTAGCTGGTACATACTGCTTTTCTAAGTACATTAATCTTAACAGAGAGGAGACAGTTACCTCCATGTGATATTTATTCATTGCAGAATATTATGCTCATTCTTTGGCAAACAGCATCTGCTCACTCAGGAATCCATGACAGTTTTCCCTAGGTTTGTCTCCGAATAACAGAGATGACCCATACCAAGGCACCAAATATAATGGTCTTGTTTCCTAATTTTCCCTTCATACCTAGGAAAGTGTTAACAATAGCTTATATGAAATTCTTCGTTGTCGTTTCTGCACTTCCATAGTACTTTTCTTATAATTCACATATGGCACATCAGAATGAGCTCTGCAATATAATTAACTGAGCCCATTGTGCTTTCATCACTAGAACAGTGGTTCCCAAAAGGAGTACCAAAAGGCCCTCAAGGGCATTTTAGAATATATAGGGGTATCTTTTTGACTGTCTAAATGACTGCAGGGCATTACTGGCACTTACTGGGTAGAAGACAGGAAAATTACATAACTTGCAATCCCTAGACTGATGGACACATCAAAACACTGTCCCTGTTGGGAGCCAGTGTTTTCAGTATGGAAGGGAGATACAAACATGGACTAGAGGAAGGCAAGGAAGAACTCTGTAGAGATGAACTGGAACTGCAGGTTTCAGAATGAATTTTTCATGATTTGTAAACTACGTACATGTAAACTTATATGCATGTATATGCACATATGTATGTTTATGTGTACATGTATACATGTTTTTCCTAGCTCTGTCCACTGAATGGGCAAAGAAGGAAAAATTCCATAGTAGCAAGGGGGACACCTAGTGCACAGATCTTGGTTTCTAATACCACTCCCTAGTAAAAGAAACCAGTGCTCCTTGGAGAAATACAGTTGACCCTTGAACAAAACAGGCTTGAACAGGTCTACTTATACATGAATTTCTTTCACTAAATGCATACTACAGGATTACATGCATGATCTGCAGCTGGTTGAATCCGTGGGCAGAATCTTGGCTAGGAAGAAACCACTTACACGGAGGACCAACTTCACGTCATATGTGGATTTCTGACTGCGTTGAGGGTGGGCTCCTTTAACCCCCATTGTTTAAGGGCTAACTGTAATTGATTTCAGGGCTAGAGCAAGAAAGGTACAAGATGGAACACTGGGAGCCAGCTTGAAACGCTTCTACTAGCCAAATTTCAGAGAACTGGACTACCAAAATAACTAAGGATGGTAATGAATCATTAAAGGGAAAAAAAAAAGAGGAATCCATAAGATCATACTGATAATAAACAGAGAAAGAAATGGGAGAAAAAGGGTTCCTGCTTACAGTAAATACTGAGTAATAATTAGTAAATGTGGAGGTATTAATGAATTTGGAGAACCATCACTCTGCAACCATCATAGTAAAGATTGATCCTGCAGATAAAATAGTCAGGCTTCATGGTAACTAACTATATGATAATAATGAACAAAAAACAAGAAAGAAAATAATTGTTTACATAATTCAGGGAGACTGTGAAGGCAAAAATGAAATAGAAACTTGCAGGAAAGAAAAAATGATTTTGCCACATGTGAAACAACAGTCTAATTCTTTTTAAGGCTTAAAAATATGCTTATCTGAATTGGATTATCATAAAAGCTTCGTTTCACATATATCTCATATGAATATATGATGACAAACATGGAGTGACTGGAAATGACACACATAATAGCCCGATAAGTACCTACCAAGGTGACAATCTTCTTTTTCTCTTGCTTCCCATTTGTGGCTGTCCACATATGCTGCAGAAAGCAGGCATCTTTTACCTGAGGAAAAAGACAATTATTTCAACAGGCATGGTTTCACAACAGGTTCAGTTTATATACCTGCTTTATTAAACATATCTTTGCCATATTTTCCATTTACTAGATTATTTAAAGATCTATTATGAAACTGTAACCAATATTACACAGTTTACAATTCAGTTCATGACAACATGCATTCAACCTCTAACAAGCAGAAGATGCAGAAAGCCTGTTAAAATTTCTACCATAATGTTATGAGTAAAAATGTTGCTAATTTTGTTCCTATTACTTTAGGACTAGGAGCCATTTGTTTCCACTAATGCAGAGCCTAGATGAGCCTTAAAACTCCTTCTTAGAACCCCAAATATTTGCTGAACAGCTGTTTAACTCATTCAAAGACTGCTTTATCATTATTAGTTAGTCCTAAAAAATTTCCATCTGACTTGGATCAGCATATTTATCCTTATTTCACATAAAGCAAAGAGTAATATCTTACCTGGTAACACAGCACCCTACTGGTAAATAACAGAAACCTAATAAGCCAAATCTGGTGTAACCCACAAGATGACACCTGTCACAATGACTGGCATATAGCAATGCTCAATAAACATGAGCTCAAGGAATTAATGAGAAAGAATGAATGGCAACCTAAAATTAAAACCTTTTGAGCTTCAAAGACACCATCAAGAAAATGAGAGAATAACTCAGAATGGGAGGAAATATTTCCAAACCATTTATCTGATCAGGGACTTGTACCCAGAATATATAAATAACTCTTACAACTCAAAATTTAAAAAGACAACCCAGCAGAAAAATGGGCAAAGGATTTAAGACATTTCTAAAAAAAAGAAAACACACAGATACATACATACACATAAATACACACACACACACACACACACACACACACACACACACACACACATGGCCAACAAGTGCATGGAAAGATGTTTAATATCATTTCCCATTAAGGAGATGCAAAATATATTTAAATACAACTTCACACCCACTTAGGATGGGTATAATCAAAAAGGCAGATAATAACAGCTGTTGATAAGGATGTAGAGAAACTAGAAACCTCCTGTATTACTGGTGAGAACGTAAAATGGTGCAGCCACATTGGAAAAGTTCAGCAGTTCTGTAAAATGTTAACATGGAGTTACCAGGTAACCCGGCAATTCCACTCCTAGGTATGTACCCAAGAGAAATGAAATCAGGTCCATCTAAAAAACTGTATATAAATGTTTGTAGCAATATTATTCATAATAGCCAACAAGGAAAAATGCAAATATCCATCAATTTATAAATGGCTAAACAAAATAGTATATTCTTATAAAGGAATATTATTCAGCAATAAAAAGAAATTAAGTACTGATACATGCTACAACATGGATGAACCCTGAAAATATTATGCTAAGGAAAAAGAAGCCAGTCACAAAAGACTACGTATTATGTCATTCCATTTATATGAAATGTCCACAATCAGCAAATCTAAAGACAGAAAGCAGCTTATTGGTTGCCTAGACCTGGAGGGTAGACAGGCAGAAAAACCTGGGTGGAAATGGGGAGTGGATGCTAATGAGTATGGGGTTTTTTTGAAGTGATGAAAATGTCCTAAATTGATTGTGGTGATGGCTGCTGCACAACCCTGTGTATATACAAAAAAAAAAAAATTCAACATTAAATTGACTACTTTAAATGGGTGAATTGTATGTGAACCAAATCTAAATAAAGCTGTTTAAAAAAACTGAAAAGAAATGAATGGCAGACTATTACCTGAAGGTCATAGCAGACCATAAACCAAACACAACTAGAAGGCATGGGAGCCGATTAAGCACAGTATTTGCATGCTATTGTTATTCTCTATCCATCTCCCAACTAAAACAAATATAAACACGTCTGTGTGTTTATACACAAGACCAGTCCCTCCCTTGCCTTCAGAAGAGGTTGGGTCAGACCTTTACTAGAATAGTATGTCTAAATTTGAAGTCTAAAGTTTAAGCAATGAAGCAATAATATTAAAAGCTGCCAAAGACTGCCTCAAAGGGGAACTAAGATATTTCTTAAAAATAGTAACTATTAAAAAGTGCCTACATTTCAAATGGATTATTTTTTAAAAAATGATTAGATGTTTGGAACTTAGAATACATTTTTCATACAAATGATGTTATAAATTGTCAGTTACATTCCTAGATCTGTCAAGAAGGATGAACAAGATGTAACGGCCTTGATGGCATGACATTAGGTGTGTAGCTGCACACCAGGTCAAGAGTGAGCAGACCTGAGATTTAGTTTGAGTTTTACCAGCTGGTAGAAAACTTCAGACCCTGCAGTTGTAAGTGAAGGAACTGGCCGGGTGATATTTAAGGTCTCTGTATGCTCTAACAGTCTGACATAGAACCAAAACAATCAGTTCAGATAACCCACTCATAATTTACTGTTGCATTTCTATGCAAACTGAATTCCAATTTCTAAAACCAGGTAGATCTCTCCTTTCTGTGGGAAACAAGGGCAGCCCTTTTCTATGTGAGCATGAGCTCAGGAGAGGGCTGTTAACCTATATACTCCAGGATACCAGTGACTCAAATATTCTCTATTTGTTGTTATTACATTCTCTTACTTTATTTCTTCTCCTAGCATATGTTTTATTCTAGCATAAGAAATCAGTCCTCCTTGTTCTAAAGTCAGGAAAGACAATTATCTAGAATTATGTTCATGAGTTTTGAACTGGGAGAGAAAAAGCAGAGGAGGTGATGGTGGGGAAAGACAGGAGTGCCAGAATGCTGTGTGCAGTTGTTCAAGGAGATCACATTGACTGAAAACAAAATTAGAACTCGTAAATTTACAAAAGATAAGCCCAGTAAATTTCATATATATATGAACTTTTAAATGTTTGCTTTATAAGAAAGTAAGCAGTAATCATTTTCCACCTCCATTGAGGATACAATGAAAGGAAATAAGTATAAGGATAAAGAATTTAAATTTGGCAAGTGGAAAATCTTCCTAATAGAAACCAATGACAAACATAGGAATGAGTTACCAAGTGGCGTAGGCAGAATAATGTCCCCCCCCGCAAAAGATGTCCTAGTTCCCAGAACCTGTGAATATTAGGGTACATGAGAAAGGGGGATTAAGGTGACAGATGGAATTAAGATCAGCACATCAGCTGATCTTAAAGTGAGAAGACTGTCCTGGGTTGTCCAGGTGGGCTCACAGTTTGTTTGTTTGGCCACACTGCACGGCATGTGGGATCTTAGTTCCCTAACCAGGGATCAAACCCGAGCCCCTTGCACTGGAAGCGCAGAGTCTTAACGAGTGGACTGCCAGGGAAGTCCAGGTGGGCTCAATATAATCACAGGTCCTTAAAAAGTGGAAGAGGGAGACAGGTTGTTAGTGTGATGCATGAAAGACAGAGGTATGTAAGAAGGACCTGACTTGCCACTGCTCGCTTTGAAGATGTCTGAGAAAGGGACGATGAGCCAAAGAACGCAGGTGGTCTCCAGAAGATGGAAAAGGCTAGGGAAACATTCACCCCTAGAGATTCCTAAAGGGAATACACCCCTTTCAACACCTTGATTTTAGCACAAAAAGACTCTGTATCAGACTTCTGACCTATAGAATAGTAAGGTAATAAATCTACGTTGTTTTAAGCCACCAAATTGGTGGTAGTTTGTTACAGCAGCAATAGGAAATTACTACACCTTCAGATAGACAGACATTCCATTATCTGTAAACCTTTTAAAGTAGGATATTCATCTTCTTCAGATACTTTTAAATGACATCATTTAAAATTTTTCCCATCTCTGTATGGTAGTTGAGGGGTCTGTATATTAACGTTAAAACCAAAGAATTTCTATGAAGCCAGACAGGACATTAAGTGTACAATGGCAAAATGGAAAATCTAGATCACCTTCTCAAACCTTAATGCGCACATGAATCTTGATAAAATGCAGATTCTGATCAGTAGGTCTGGGGTGGAAACAGATTCTGCATTTCTAAAAGTTCCCAGGTAATGATGATGATGTTGACCCTCAGATAACATTGAAGTAACAAGGGGATAGGATGTTATCAGCCTCACAAGTTTAGATCTCTGAGCCCGTTTAATGCCACTCCGAATATGCCACCCAAGAGCATATATATACCCTTCTTGAACCTGCTAACCCTTCAGCCAGTCAATTTTAAGAGCAACAATATTCTAAGATAACTATCCACTAAAAAGCAAATATCTCCCCTGCTTAATTCTGAAAAGATACCTCCATAGACCAGAATTTCAAAGTTTAGTAAATACTTATTTATTAAAAACTTACTTATTTTATAGTTAATTTGGCCTTTGGTAAGATGTCTCCAAACATGTTTTCCATCCAAAGGGAAGCAGTGTGATTGTGAACACAGATAGGCTTTAGAGTCACAAAGTCTGAGTGTGAATCCTAGCCTTGCTATAAAAAATTTTATAAAAATGTGGGCAAGTTACACCAGGTCTCTGAGCCTCTTTCTTCATATGTAAAACAGGGAACTACTGTATCATAATTTAAATAAGGGCATATATTAAGTACCTAGCCTAATGTCCACTATGTAGTAAGTGCCCTAAAAGTTTCCCTCTCTAGCCTCTTCATATACTGAAGTCACCTTTTCAGTTCATCTCAATAAACCTTTCTCTCATTCTCTTGATCACTTTAGTTGCCCTTATCCATTATGTTGTAGGGAGAATCAGTGGAAGCACCGAAGTATTCCAAATACTGATTGGTCCTCAGTTTGTACAAATTTTTTCTTCTTTTATCTGGTAATGATTCAAGATGTTTTGATGACTTAAAGCTCCTTATCAGCATTCTCAAACCCCCAGTGGTCCATAATGTACTATCCTACATACTTATATTCACTTGCCTTATACCCTTCAGTTCCTGATTTCAAGACTCCTTTCATCTGTGGTCTAACCCCCTGCTTGTGCAATATAACTTTCTGTAATGAATGAGATGTTCAATTCTGAACTGTTCAATACAGTAGCCACTAGCCACAGGTGTCTACTGAGCACTTAAAATGTAGCTAATGTGACTAAAGAACAGAAGTTTTAAATTTAAACTAACTTAAATAGCCATGTGTAGCTCCCCGGCTACTTCAAGGGAACAGCACAGGTGTAACCTATAATGAGCACACCATTTCAAACTACGATCAAAATGCTCCCTGGAAATTCTTTCAATTCACCTTTATCTAGTTTCCATTCCGCTGTTAGTATGACTGCCCCCGAGTATGCTAAGCAACTATGATACTTTCCCTGATAGACAATCCAAGATCTTGTTTAAATTGAAAAGCATTTACTAACAACATAAGTAAACAAGCTAGTAAATAGCTACAACAGTTAATTCTTACTGAGGTGCCAAGTACTGTGCAGACCACTTTACCTAATGTGTGGCCTGAAACATTTTCATGAGCTAGGTCAATCAGTTAATTCTCAGAAAACTTCTGGTGGCCAGCTATAAGGTTTCACGTTGATATTTAAAGGCGTGTGGGCAAAACTGTATGTGTTGCTTTCTAACAGGGGCTAGAGGAGGTATGTTGGAAAGATGAGATAATAGGCATTGGAAAAATCAATTGTGATTATTATATTTTAATCATATAATCAGATACATCTGTCAGGATTTAGCTTCTGTGAATTAAACAAGTTTTTCCCAATGTCTTCATCAGCAGGTCCTGTAAACAGGCTTTGAGTGAGCCGTCATTCATTCGGATATCAAAGTACTTTAAAAGTAACTATTAGCATTTATTGTCTGAACGGAAAACTTGGGCAAAGAAAAGTCAATCAAAAGTTGCGCCCAAGGTCATCAGGTAAACTGAGATTAGTAAGAAATTCCTTCACCAAGTGAAAACCAAGGGTCTGGCCACACGTCAGGTGTTAAAAGGAGAACGTTTATGACGCCCCTCTAAGGAAACTCAACAGGGAGAGAAATTTCAGAGCCCCAGCGGGGACACATTTGGGCTTTTCACGGGCAGCAAAGAGATGACCACCCTCACACACAAACCCGGCAAATCATACGCAAAAGCTCTCATGCCCGGACTTCCTCTGCTCTTCACACCTTTGGATAGGCAGACACTATTATTTTAGGGAAGGAGATGGGTCACAGACCTTACCTCCCCTCTCTGTGCTACCAAACACCTCCAGGGGTTTCTCTAGCAACTAGATCCCAAAAGCATTTCCTCTCCCCTTAAAAGCCCACTGCTCCCTTTACTCAAGGAAGAGAGTTCTCAGGGGCCTAATGAAGCAGGCCCACGAAGGTAGCAGCCACCAACCTGTCAGGGAGAGATGAGGCAGCGACACTTTCCGCGCCCAGAGGATCCCGCGCCGCACCACGTGGACCGCCATCTTGGAGCATACCAAAGGAATGACCGATAGGGGGACTGCGGGCGGAGGAAGGGCTAGGCAACAATCCACGCCCCCCCCCGGCTCCCCCAGTTGGTGCAGCCCGGGACAGTATGGCGGCCGCCTTTCAGCCACCTAAACAAGTCTTACAGCTGCAGGCGCTGCGGAGTTTGGTGTATCCAGGGTTGGGCGGCTTGGGCTCCACCTGCAGCCGCTACCCTCTCGGAGGTATCCTAGGCCTCGGGCCGTGAAGGAGGGGAGGGATGGGACAGAAGGGAGCTTTAAACCTCAGCGGGCATCTCTTTGGAGAAATAACAGCGCCTCACTCAGGGGCCTAGAGCAATCGAGCATGCACTTGCCCTCTGCACGTGGGTACAGTGGTGGCCTCTGGATGTCGTGGACGCCCGGGTGCCTGGGAATCAAAGGACAGATGGGCTGGGCTCTTGACCTGGGGACGGTAGTATTCCCTCGGATGGAGCTGTGCTGCGCCCCGGGAACACCCCCTCCCCCTTGGGTGTACTGTCCTGCAGAGTTTGGGAGGGGAGGTCAAAGACTATGAGTTTGGAGTCCAGCTCTGTAGCGAAGTCTGAAAGACTCTGAGCAGGTTTCTTTATTTGTCAAATTATCCCTTAATATCTTTATGAAAATGATTAAATTTGAAGATGCTAGTGAGTGATAATATTTAACACTTTGTGTCAGGCTTTCCTGTAATACATTTTACATACATTCATTCCTTTTCTCCTCACATCACCCAGTGAGAGAGGTACTATTCTTCATTTACAGAGGAGGAAACCGCAAAGCTAAGTAATTTGCCCAAGGTCAGAGGGAACTGGTATAGGAAGGGTTTGAACACAGGCAGTCCTACTGTAACACCTTCTCTGGACCTGCCTCTCTAGAAATCAGCAATTTTTGTTGTTACATTGTTATTGTAGTACACAGAGCTCTTGTAGTGGACAGTTCTTTGGCCAAGCTCCAGTTCATGCACAGCCGAGCATCCTAAGGAAATGATGTTTCCTAAACTGATCATTTCTGCTAAGTTGTGGTCAGTGATTCCTGATGTATCTAGAGGATACCAAGAGTCCAAATCTGAGAGGCCATAACGCCTCATTTCACAAATGACAGTCCTGGGAATTCCAATGGTCACATTAAAGTTTTTTCCCCTACCCTATATGCTTCTACCTGTTTAAACCAAATCTAGATATACCTGTTTTGCTGTCTGTCTTTAAGATCCCAAACTCCTGTCTAGCCATCCCCATACCCAGTTAATCACTAGCTTCTTTCACACACACACACAGACAAAACTTGTCTTGTGGAGGATTTGCATTCTTTGGTACTTTGGACATTTTTTTCCCCACCACGGTGACTATTATATTTGTACCTGTCTAGGTGGGTTATTTATACTAACCAAAGATAAGATCAGTTATTAGAAAGAGACAGTCAAGCTCTACACGTTATTTGCTAAGTATAAAACAGTCAAAATGATTTTACTTTCTCTTCTCTGATTTTTAGCTAAAAGATATCTACTTACAGATAATATTGTGAAATTAAAGGACTTTCAGCATAAGAAGGTGGCTGTTGCATGTAATCTTCCTGGCACCAAAGGTAATCAAATCTATTTCATTACTTCTTTCATTGATCTGTCATTAAACTTCCCTCTGTCTTTATCCCTGTTCAGTCTCTTCTTCAATGACCTTATCTCACAGAAGAAACTGAGATGATTTATTCTTAGTTTCCTAGTCTGCCCTTGCATGCCCCTTTCACCTCACTCTGTTATTGCAGAGTCTACCGCTCTTAT